TAAAAACTAAAATTAATATAAAAAAATTATCCTTCAAGTAAAATTGCATAGAGATTATTATTAGATGAAAATATTTTATTATACTTTGTACTAAAGTTTGTTGAATATTGCAACAAAAAAGTAAAAAATGCAGTAAAAAAGAGTACTCTTATGGTAAGACTTACCCTATTTTTTAAGTATAAATATGCAAATATATGCATTTAAACAGCTTATATATGCAATTATATGCACTTATACATTTAAAAAAATGCATAATTGAATTATAACAATATATATATATATATATATATATATATATATATATATATATATATATATATATATACATATATATATATATATATATATATATATATATATATATATATATATATATATATATATATATATATATATATATATATATATATATATATATATATATATATATATATATATATACATATATATATATATATATATATATATATATATATATATATATATATATATATATATATATATATATATATATATATATATATATATATATATATATATATATATATATATATATATATATATATATATATATATATATATTAGTAATTAGTCATAACAGTTAAAACAAATTTTATATTGAAAAAAAGTTGAAGCAATCACCAGAAAAATATCATAAATATAGAACATATTTATCTGAAGTTTAAAAAAAAAATTATTGAAATCCTACAGTCAGATTTTAAGAAAACTGATTTCAAATAAATAAACAAATCTATGAGTTACACTATTAGTGTCACTAAAACGTTGTTAGTGTCACTAAAAAGTTGTTAACTGAAAATATTGTTTAAATACTCTAAGATATTTTTTATCCTTTTATTATATATATTTTTGTGAAAATTTTGTAATAATATACTAATCTACATAAAAATAAGGCTACAACATTGAGTTTTTAGAGATCAAATAACAAATAACACGGTTGCCATATAAAATATACTCTGTAGTTAAGAACCGTAGCCATTTTAAAAGTTCGCATTTTCTCACGAAACATAGCGCTTGTAAACGACCGAAAGCTGGTTAAACTTTTGATTTTCATGGTTTAAGACTATTGGCTTTTCTTGCACTGAAATGTAACGGAAATGCTTGCCAATCCACAGCTGATTGCCTGACATTTTATTTTGATTTTAAATGGATGGAAAACCCGTTGTATGTGTGTACGCTTTACTTACCGGGTTTTGTGTCCATTTAAAACAAATACGATACCGATTTGAAATTAAAATAAATTCCATTAAATTAAAATAAACTAACATAATATTAATAAAAATAAAATTAAATAATATCAAATAAACAAACATATAAACAAAACCTTTTTTTTTAATAACATAGAACGTTGACTTTGCGCATGCGTCAAATGTTTTAAATGGAAACACGATTGTTTTAATTGTATATCATAGTGTTTTAAACGAATGACATGGTTGTTTTAAATGGATGTAATATTTGTTTTAAATGGTTGAAAAACTCGGTAAAATGAGGCGAGTGTCGACTTTTTTGTGATTACACCGTTTAAGATTTTCAAAGGCACAAAAGCTTGAAAACAGAATATTTTAAAACAGACATCTTCAAGAAAAAGAGCTTAAACTCAGAGATTGATGGGGAATATGACTAACTTTTATTCGCAAAAAGTGTTTCCAAAGTTTTCAAAAAATGTTTACCACTAGTTTGACAACCAATGTATAACTTGGAAAAAAAATCGTTATTGCTTTAGTTAATTTAAAGCCTTTGCTTTTATTAGAAAAGATTGCGATCGCCTAGTTATAAATACGAATAAGCTGTTACGTTTCAGGGGCGCACACACAAATACAGTCCTGAGAACAAAACGATCTTGAACTAATTATTATTAATGAGTTTGAAAAAACATTTTTATCATTTTTGTCAAACTGTCTAAGTAATGATCAATATGAGAAGTACGCAGATGCCAAAGATAAACAGAATAAACTTGATATCCTTGATTGAACTCCATTAAGTTAGCTGTGAAGGAACCATTTGCTTTACGCAGAAGGTAAAATCAAAGGTTAAACATCGTCATCCTGCAAACTACAATATGAATTGTATACCTGATAGTTTAAGATACATGATGTGCAAAAACACAAATCCTTACGTACAATCCCGGTATATCAGGGCCGACGACACTTCGGAACCTGTGTATAGAAAACTTGTCTACAACTAGTTTAAAACTAAAAATTAAAAAAAAAAATTATTGTTAAGATACCTGGAAGTGTGTTTTGAAACTGCATATTTATGGTAAATATTTCGTAATTAGCTTTGACCCTAACTTAATACCGACTTACATTGAATTCTATGAGTGATATTTGATATCAAAATTATAAAAAGTCGCCTATTTATTAATTGTCAAACTAATTGTTTTTATATTGTTTTTATGTCAGCAATTAAAAAAACAGTTTAAAAAAGCAGAAAAAATAAGAAAAAAAAAAAAAAAAAAAAATACAAAACGTTTACTTAACTGCGACATATCGTAAAACCCCCTAATTCTAGATGTAACCTAATTCTGGATGGTTTTAGTAAAAAGTTTCAAAACTCGCTTAATATAACGAACTTATGAAATATTTTTTTTAGTTAATAAACGTCTATACAAACAATATAAAAATACACATCAAACAATATAAAAAAAAAAATTATATAAAATAACGCTAGCATTTTAATTTGAAATCTAACACAAGTAAATAAACAAAAAAATAAATAAATAAAGTAACTTGGATTTGCAACGAAAAAAATAAAAAAAAGTAAAAACACCATTTTGTGCAGAACCCTATGTTTTAGTTAAAAAAAAATAAATTACCATTTTAATTAATTGAGAAAAAATAAAAACAAATTAGCTACTAGTAAAAAAAAAAAATAGACACCTAAATTCGAATAGAGATAATTATTATTTTATGTGCCTGAAAAAAATAAAAAATAAAATACCCGCTAGCAATAAACAAAAGACATTTAAATCCTGATACAGATATATATTATTTAACGCGCATAAAGTTAATGTATAGGTGCAAATTGTTTAGAACCGAAAAAGACCTAACACCTGACATACCGTTAAAAATGTCAAATCATGAAATTTTGCTTAAAAGCTTTGCTACTTATTTATATGCTTCGAGATCAATTGAAACCAACTCTAAATAAAATAGTTCAAAAAGGTAAGATAATGAAGCGATCAGCTAATTATAAAATGATATCGAAGGATGCCAGAGCTCACGATGAAGCTGAACAAGCATCAAAAAAACAAAAATTAGATGAACAAGCTGCAAAGAAATTGTCTATATAGGTAAGTTGTCTATATAGGCAATTTCTTTACAGCTTGTTCATCTCATTTTTGTTTTTATGATGCCTGTTCAGTTTCATCGTAAGCTCTGGTAATATTTTTTTTGCTCTATAGAGCAAAAAAAGATTACCACTGCTACTTAAAAAGCAGAAAATGCTTGTATTTTCTGCACAGATTAAATGTTTATCAGCTTTATATATAAAGCTTATAAACATTTAATCTGTCAGTTTAGTAATGCGTATGAAAAAACATTTCCAAAGCAAGAAAAAAGATTCAAAGAAAAAGCAAAACTCTACGAAAAATATTTGAAAAAAAAAAAAAAGTCTTTTTTTTTTTTTTTCAAATATTTTTCGTAGAGCTTTTGCTTTTTCTTTGAAGATTTGATGAGGCCTTGAAAAATCCATGGACTTTCCAAGTTTTTAGAAAAGAATCAAATACTAACTTTTTTCTTTTTAAGCTTGTTTCTAAAGTTTTTTAAAAAGGTTTTTATAACTTTTTTTTTCCATTTTTGTAAGTTGCAACTTACATGAAAGGAAAAAAAAAAGTTATAAAAACATTTTTAAAAATTTAAGAAACAAGCTAAAAAAGTTTAATATTTGAATCTTTTACAAAATAATATTGGTAACAATAAAAAAACATCGGATGTTTTAAAAGAAGTAGTAGGAAAGTTTAAAATTGTTCCATGTAATATCCTGCCAAACCATTTAAACATCAATGACAAAAACATTGTTAATAATGATAAAAAAAAAAAAAAAATTTCTGAAAGCTATAGCAAGTTTGTATTGCTTAACTTGATCAATAGTGTAGAACAACACAAGGTAGTGACAGAGGAACCCACATAGCCATACGTACTGACAATGTGGATACAAGACGTGTTTATGACGGTTTGTTTGCTTTTGTAAACAACGACAAAAATGTACATAAACAAAAAAATCTTAAATGTTTTATATATTTCTTTTTAATATGTAAAAAAGTTTCATGCTTTTTTCCACTTTTTCACAATTATTATGCTAATCCGCTGCACTAATTATCTTTTATCAATTTTTGGTTTTCTTTTTATATTTCCGTCTTTAATAGAGATTGGTCTTTGAAAACATAGACTACCATTACACCTTGTATGAAAATATATCAATAAAAGTAATGAAAATTTAATGGGCCTTCAGTTGTTACGGCGTTTTGGGCGATGTCAGGGCCTGTATTTATAAAAGGTCGTGATTTATGCCAATTGTAGACCTGAGAAGAAAAAGTACTTGTCACACATACACACACACACAAAAAAAAACGTTATGAGAAAATCTCGATGGATCAGCCATTTCAAATGCTTATTTTGAAGTGTTTTGTCTGATCAAAGTGTATTTTCTTAATATTTTAATATTTCTCAATATTAACTTAATTAAATCTCAATATTAATTTAATTATCTTAATTAAAGTATATTTATTTTATGACTTAGTTACTTTTTTTTCTCAGCCTTTTAATTCAGCTTAACGGTACATTACTTAAAACACGTTTAATGGCATTGTGATTAAAAAACACACGACATTTTTTGCAACTTTTATTCAATCGATCCGCCTTGAAGTTTTTTTTTTTTATATTTTTATTATAGACAACCCTTCTCACATCTCTAAAAAATCCGAATGCTTTCAAATTAGATGAAAAAATAGATGTAAATATATTCGCAACAAAAAATAAATATTTAAAATACTGTTTAATGAATGATATAAATTTTACTAAATAATTTATAGAAGTTTAAATAAAATATTTTGAAAAATGAAAATATTACTTAGAAAGAAATGTTTTCGCAAACTCTAGTGCATTATTAAGACTCCTTAACGACGGATGCAAGTTTGCATACTGCGCTTTAATCGATGCTGCTTCAGCATGCTGCTCATTTATTCTAAGTACTTGTAAAACGTTATTTAAAGTTTTTTCATCTTTTTGAATAAGTGTGGATACAGTCGATTGAAACAGTGGGGTATGGGAAACTAAATGAACTGAGTTTGAATCCATGATTAAGCTAAAAAGCTCATCGTCCATAATAACTTCCTAAAAAAAAAAAAAAGACATAAAATTTTTTATCAAAAAACGAGAGGGTTGATCATTAAATTCGCTGAAATTCGGGACAAAAGTTTAGAGGTCTGAGAATGACTGTCAATATTTTTCATAAAACTCCTATTCGTTTAGGAGTTACAACGAATTAAAACATATTCAAATTTGACAGAAAAATGAGAGGGGAAAAAGAGCTAAAAATCTTTGAATTTAAAAGGATAGACGCACATAGGATTATTTTCAAGGAGGGGGTGAAGGGACGCGTATATTGCCTAAATTTAGCGATAATCAATTAAAAATTTATTTAAATAAAAAATCAGTGGAAAATACTCATACCTATTAATAAAACAGGTCCTCAAAAAAAATATTTGGGAGGTCATTTTTCCATTCCCCTTCCTTTCTCTAACTTATTTTAAAATGTCAAATATGTGAATTTTTGAGTGAATTGAGTTAATTGCAAAAAATCACAAAAAAAAATTTTCTTCATAGCTTCTGAAGTTTTTTGCATTTTTCAAATAAAATTATTCGCTTTAACATCATTTTTTTAGTCAAATCATTATTAGCTTCTACATTTATGTTAAAGTTTTCATAAAATTAATAAATATCGTTGTCGTCTTATGACGTGTTATTGTCACTACTTTTATTTACGTCATTTTTTCATTAAATTTACGTCATTCTTGTATTAAAAGATCAGCTTCTAATAGAAGAAGATGTTTTTATTTTTAGATTTTATAACGAATGTAAATTTGAATCTGATGAGTTAAATGGACGTGTAAATACATCAAAGACATTTACGGCTTTGCGAGCATAATGAAACCGATATCTTTTAGTGATTTTGTTGCAACATTCTTGTGGTTTTTATTTTACCGAAAACGAAGGTTATCTTTATACTAACAGGCTGTGTAAACGAACAAAATGTGCGATAAACTGGGGGTTAGAAACAGAAGTTAAAGCGAAAAGTTGAGTATTTTACTTGAAGAGTTAGAGTTACAAAAACTTTTTTTCCAAGGCATTCTTAATGCTAACAGGATATTGTATAAGATAAAAACTTATCGATTGTTCTAAATGTGTTATTTATAGTTAATTTTAAATTAAATAATTATTTTAAATTTAAAAAATTGTATTCATAAATCTGATTAAGAGTTAATTGCTATCATTTGTGATAACAATGGTATCAACCAGTCTATTACTCTAAGTTTACTTGTAGCCATGGAGAACAGAAAGTAAAATATTTTTTTATTTATGATTTTGTCATTTAAAAAATCAGTGCGAAACAACTGGCTAACTGAGAAAACACAAATTCTAAAGTTTGAAGATGATGGTGAATTGAAATTAGCTTTGTGGTCTGATTTAAAACATTTACATGAAACTGAAAAAGGAAGTTTAGTTAGACTTTCGAAGCCTAAAGATGTATTGGTAGGACGAAACCCATTGAAAGACATAAAGTATCTACTTGTCTCCACAAATTTTGTGATAAAACATTAGCGGCGTTGAAGACATGTTTTAACATATGTAATTCAGATGTTACTATACGATTTATTCAAATTATAATAAAGTTTTTAGTTATGTTAAAGGGGACCATATGCAGACTTACATTACCATGATGATGATAGAGCTGTTAATGCAGAAAATTATGAAAGATCGGCACTTTTTGTGCAAAATTGCTTGTATAGCACACAAAATGACAAGTAATCAAGAACAAAGACAGTGTCAGCTCAAACATGATACAGGGACAACACATACATGTTCAGGCATGATTAGTCTTGTCAAGTACTTTATTAACTCTGGATATCTTGATATATGGTATTTTATAAATTTACAACAGACCCTTTTAACTTCGAAATGGGTCTGGTGGGACTTATTTTATAAACACTCAGCAAATTTTAGACAAAGTCAAACCAAAATAATTTTGCAAGTGGATATATATTTATAGATGAAGTTGGAGAAATGATTGTGAAAAGTGTATGTTTTTATTAAATAGGGATTCATCAAGTGTTTTTTATAAATTACCTGAACTAGAAGAAAAGCTGGATAAAAATGTAAAAAAAAGCCCTCATTTACATTTCTGGATGTGTTACAAAAACTGAAACATGCAAAGAAACAAAATTTTATTATGAAAAATATGGGGACAATGTTTAAGAGATTAATTGTAAATCTCAATATACCGTTCGACAATGCCTGTCAATGGACCATGTTTATTATGTCATGCTGTAATATATTTATGTAAATATCTGACTTTTATGGTTTCAAGATGAAAAAAAAATCTGGAGTAATTCTATATAATATTTTGTTTAATGTATACAATCAAATATAGTATTACAATCCCAGATCATCATGTTTAATAACTTTAGTATATTATAAAGTTCCAGATTATCAAAAGGACCAAAACAAAATGTTTTTTGTTTGGTCCTTTTGATGATATGGGCTTAATAAACAATATGTTTTTTGTGAACATATTGTTTATTAAGCTCACTTTATTTTTGTCACCCTTTTTAAAATGGCCATTCCATATAGACTCTTATAGCTACTTTATAAGATTTTTAATTTTAAAAAATCAACTATTATTTAAAAACAAAAATTTTATTTTAATTAATTTTTTAAATTTTTTTTTTCCCATTTTATCTATTTTGTATCAAAATTATCTGACCGAAATTTGTGTCAATAAAACATTTACTTTATGATTAAATATTTTTGTTGCTAAATAAGGATATATAAACTTGGTTTTTACTAAAATAATGATAAATCAGTGTTTTCCAATTCAGACTTTTAAAAAAATATTTAAAAAACAGAAAAACTTTAAAAAAATGTTTATTTAGTATAAAACAGCTTAATTCTTCAATGGGCCACAGTTTATCTGAAATTTTGTCCATTTACACGGTCTGTTAGTATAAAGATGGCCATGTCCAAAGCTCTTAAAGGAACGGGAGAATTTTACATAATTTGTTCTCCATGTGCTAATATTAAATGGATTTATTTAGGAATTTAGAATATAGGTCATTTCATAGTCAAATTAGCATAGAAACCAAAAATATGGCACCCCATATTTTTTATATGCACCCCATATCAAGTTTCGTGAGTTTATGGTATATCTTGTGTATACTTTTTTTGTTGTGAATAATATATGACTGAAAAAAAATACTAAGCTCACTTAATTTTTATTTTCTAATTTGATTGATTGGTAAAAGGTGATGATAGATGATAGAAAAAGTTTTCTTAATATCATTAGTAAGTGCAACTTGTAAGTCTTAAAATAAACTATTTTACTTTGTTTTGAGAGATACAAGACTATAACTTTCAGCATGTTTTAAACTTTTTTGGTACCAAACTTTAGCATCGCAGCATTACTGCAAGTACCTTTTAAGGATAATAATAAATAGAAACATTTCTAGCATTCTTTAAACCTCATTTCCCTTCCCCTAACCTCATTTTTCTGTCTCAATCAAACAAACTTTAAGTGTAATCTACTATTTAGTAAAAACAAAAAAATTGAAATTAAAAATACAAAATGAATATCTCAATACTCAACATAAAAAAGAGCAACTAAAAAAACACATCAAAAAAATACACTATTTTGTACACTGATAAATTGCTGATAAATTAAATATATATATATATATATATATATATATATATATATATATATATATATATATATATATATATATATATACATAATATATATATATATATATACATATATATATATATATATATATATATACATATATATATACATATATATATACATATATATATACATATATATATACATATATATATACATATATATATACATATATATATATATATATATATACATATATATATATATATATATATATATATATATATATATATATATATATATATATATATATATATATATATATATATATATATATATATATTTCATTTACAGATTGCTAACAAAGTATTTATTTAGAAATAATAAAATAAAAACAAAGAAATGTGCACAAATTTCCAATAATCATATAACATCAAAATAGTTTCAAAAATTTAAAAAAATTTGTACCTTAATTGTAAAACTTTCTTTATACACAAAGTCAATGCAATCTTGATTGTTGCTAAGCAGCATCACTTTAAATGCTAACTGGTATTTCTTCATATTACAAAGTTTCTCATAAATATGTTTATAACACTACAAATAAATTAATGAGACATGGTAAAAAGGAAAAAAAAAATTAAAAACTTACTTTTTAAAGAAAAACAGTTTATTGAAGATTGTTTTTAGAGTAATACAGTTTAGATTTTATTACTCTAGACTTTCTAGAGTAATATAGTTAACTGTATATATCTAGAATAATACAGTTTGCTGTATATAATTTCTAAAGTAATATACTTAATATACTTTATACTGTATGTACTTTCTAGAGTAATACAGCAGTTCTATATATTCACATTAACTGTAGATTTCTAGAAAAAATATGGTTTACTGTATATACTTTCTTAAGTAATATACTTTATACCGTATATATATTTCAGAGTAATACAGTAAACTGAATATACTTTAGAAAACATCTTCAGCAGTTATTCACAAGCACACTAACTGAAGATACTTTAGAAAACATCTTTAATGGCTCTATACATTTACAAACACACACAAACATACGTAGATTTAAAGTGAAATTAAACATTTAATAGCTCATATTATTATAAAAAATCATTTTGTTTAAAAAGTTAAAATAAAATTGTACATCTGAAATCTTTGAAAAGCATGCAATTTTGATTGTTTCTGCAACATCATCAAAAAGTTGATAAAAAATCTGTTTACATATCAAAATTAACCAAGGGTCACTCAAATGATCCGATCTTTAAATAAAAAATAAAAAATTCACATTTCATCTTAACTGTTTTAATTTAATAAAGGAAGAAATATAAAATCATAATAGAAAAACTTACACAACAAATGGAGGCCATGCTAACAATAGCTGCTTTAAACCAGCAATTTGTTCTGGAACTTCAGTTTTTTCAATGAGCGTCATAAATAATTCATATCTATTCTTTTCTTCTTTTAAATCTCTTTCATCAATCTAAACAAAAATCACAAGAATACAATCCTTTTATTTCCTAACAGACCTTCTACCTGCCTCAATCTTCCTTTTCAATTTGTCAAATAAAAATTTAAATGTTTGTTTTATTTTGGAATTATTGTAAGGTAACTAAGGTAAACAATTTAGAGTTGCAATAAAATTGAGACACAAACTGAGTTGCAATTTCAAATATAATTTCAAGAATCAAGATTAAATTAAAAAAAAATTTTCTTGGTTGTTCCTAACATGTGGTTGAAAGCAACCACATGTTAGAAGGTACAAAAAACATTTAAAAAAAAGAAAATAAACAGATTTCTTTAAAAAAATTTAAATTGCATGAACCAAGGAAAAAAATATATGGGAAAAAATTTTAAACCATTTATGCTTGAGGAAGCTAAATTGAGGAAGTTAAAACGTTTTTAGACAAAAGAACATTTATAGTAAAAAGGTACAACTTAGCAAATTATGCATTTTATTTGGTGGAACAAGAAATAATAGCTAATTTAAGCAGCAACAACCCTTGTGAGAACAGACACCTGTGCGACACCTATAAGACATCTTATAGATGTCACAAATATCCTGAATGGGAAAATTTCTAAAAAAACATCAATAAAAAAATATTTAATCATTAATTTATTACTCAATTTTGATAGAATAAACCTTTCTATTACAAGACTTTTATGAACAAATTTTTGAACCTTAAGTTTTGAGAATTAAAATATTCAATTGCAACCTTGTACCTGTACTCATTTTAAATAACATTTTTTATTTTAGTTGCTTTAAAAACTTTCTATGAAAATATTTTATTAACAAAAATAAAAAACACCTGAAACAAGTCATCAGCAAAAATAATCAAATGAAACTAAACATTTGCAAAACATCAATATCAAAAAAAAATAATCTTCACAATATATGAATATTATATAGCAAAACTTTTGTAGAAAAATTTATAAGAAACTTATCTACAAACCTTTACACTCCATCTTGGTGCAATAATTGAATCACTTTGAAAGTACATCAACATATGCATATCTTCAGATGTAAGATCAATGTTTTGATCCAGAAGTTGAAGTAAAACAGTTTTTGAATGAGTGCTAGTATTTATATCAGAACAAAATGATCGAACAATCTCTAAGATATCATGTACTGTTACCAAATCGCCATTGTTTTCATTGTGAACTTTTATCAAATGAACTAATTCTAAAAAATGTTTCTGTCCACTCCATTGATTCAAAAAAAAATAAAAAATAAAATAAAATAAAATTAAAGACATATTTAAACACAATATAGAAATAATTAAAATACATATTTATAAGAAGACCTGTTTTTGCTTTTTCTAATAAAGTTTATTTATTAATTAATTTTATAATCTTTATATAAATTATAAAATAATTAATTTATAACTGTAATAAAGATAATTATTAGTTAATTATAAATTAATAATTATTAGTTTTTTAAAAAAATGTTTAAATAAAGCTAACAACTTCCAAAATAATACAAGTATAGGAATACAAGTTAATAAAGCCAAATCTTTAATTGTTAAAACAAATTGTTAAACAAGTTGATACAACAAACAAAACATATAAATGAACAATCCAACAAATAAAACATGTGAATACAATTTCTATGAGTAAATAATATAAACTTCTGCTATTTTGATGTTTTTTTAAACCAGTAAACATAACAATGCTATAATCAAAATGATATTCAGGGATTAAACAGTGGGTTAAATTTTGAAGAAGCTGGCACAAAAGTCTGGAGTGAAAATAATTTTTTAGAATTTTTTAAAATAAAAATAATTATTTTCATTTTAAACTTTTTAAATAATTTAAAGAGCTCCTTAACGCATTGTCAGCAGTTTTTAAAATGTTGACATTATTGACATGTGTTATATAACAAAAAAGTTTAAAAACTTTATGTCATATTATTGAAAGTTCAATGTTACTTCCTAAAAAAAAATTTTTTTAGGAAGTAACATTGAACTTTGTTTATTTTTTTTCATTAAACTGTGTTTATTTTTTTTTATAAATGTTAATTTACATTGTAAGAGGTTAAACTATCATTGCTTTGACAAACAAAACATAAAAATAAATAG